CTTTTTGCTGCCTTGGACCTGAAAAAGTTTACATTTATACTTTTTCTTCACAGAGAAAGAAGAGAGAACATTTCTTTTGACGCCTTGTAGTTTCCGAATATTTCCACTGAAATAAAAACGGCACAAAGTGAGTGTCTAGAAATAAGAAACGGCACTCAGTCTTGGATTTCTAAATGAGAAGTCATTATCACTTAACGATCCCATAAGCAGATTTGAAAGTATAAACAATGTGATAAATGGACTCACTGGTTTTGTTCATACATTGCATAACAAAGAAAGTGTATAAGTTGATAGTATACAGAATTTCTACAATATTAAATACCATATTTGTGGTAGATGAATGAGAGTTTTCAAGTGTGTTTAGAGGTGATTACATATGGCATCTGTGAACTCCGTTGTGGTTGAGGTACCTCCGAGGTCAGAAGTTCGATGCTTGCCTTCTGCTATTGTTTTGATAATGGCATTTTGAATTTGCTCTGCTTTTTCATTGAGCTCTAGGTGGCGCAACAGCATAACTCCACTCAGAAGCATAGCTGTAGGATTCGCCAGGTTCTACAAAACACCACCAAAACATTTGAATAATGCCCTGATTCAACAATGTTAGAATGAATCAAGTGTTTTTTTTGGACTAACCTTTCCTGCAATATCAGGTGCAGAATCATGAACAACTTCAGCAAGAGCAATACCATCTTCTCCGATATTACAACTGCATCAAATACATAATAAGACCTTAAAATATAATTGTCACATTGTGTTATATGGTATAAAGTATATTCTTGCCAATATTATTACCTTGGAGCTAATCCAATTCCACCAACCAATCCGGCACATAGATTACTGATGATATCTCCGTAGAGATTCGGCATCACCAAGACATCAAAAACTGATGGATTTTTCACAAGCTGTAACCATTATGAGATTTATCAGTCGCAACATTCCACAATGCAAGAATCTTCAAGGCTATAGTAAGATGGATTAGGTGATTGTAGCTTACCATCATACAACAATTTTCAATTACAACCTCCTCATATATAATCTCAGGATACTTCATAGCAACCTCCTCACAACACTAGGACATAAAACAAGAACGAAATAAAAAAAATTGTCTCACAAGAAACCGTTTTAATCCTTAATTAGTACCTCGAGAAAAAGACCATCAGTTTTCTGCATAATGTTAGCTTTGTGAACTGCAGAAACTTTCTTTCTCCCTTGAGTCTTAGCATAACGAAATGCATACTCTGCGATTCTTAAACTCGCCTCACGTGTAATAATCTTAAGACTTTGCACCACACCTTTAACGACCTAATTAGCGATAAACAAAGTTTACAAGTCATTCATCACCATGGAAAGTTACTTCTCAATATATAAATACAGATTTATAAGAGACCTCATGTTCAATCCCACTGTAGTGTCCTTGTGTGTTTTCACGGATAATGATGAGATTGACATCATCGTAACGGGTTTTGTAACCAGGTAAACTAAAGCAAGGCCTAACTTTGGCATAAAAATTGACCTCTTTCCTAAGAAGACCTTTACCACTTGGCCATGGCATTTCCATTGGCCCTCTCAAGCCAACCTTGTTTCTAAGCACAGATTCGAGAGATTCCCAAGTGAAGAAACTCTGGATCCGTTTCTGTACAAATATAGTGTTCTTCCCATTCAATGGGAGCGTTAGCCACAGTAAACACCTGGATCAACATAAAAGCACACATTTTCAAAACATCCCACCGTTGCGGTTGGACCGACCGTAGTACTAGACATATCACTATGAGTTATGACTATCCCAATGTTACAAGAAAGGGACCTGTTTGAGAGATTCAGCGATTTCGGGACCGATACCATCGCCAGGTAACAGAGTTGCTGAGATCGGAGTGATGGAGGAGGAGTAATGATGCCATAGTATCAGAAGTATGTAGCCAAGAAAGATTCGAGTTTAGACAAAGAGGAAAGAAAGAAAGGAGACTTTTTGGTGCCTTGAGTCAAAAGTTAATGTAGTTGTTCTGCAAGAAACAAACAGAGTAAGTAAGAACATGTTCTCCATTTCTTGTTCTACAAAAACGCCTTGTAGTTTGTTCAAACGGCACGTAGTAACTATCCAAACGACAAAAACACCAAGCAGTTTTGATTAAGTATCTTAAAACTGGATCAAACCAATCCGGTTATCGTAATTTTCATAACCGGTCAGATCAAAATTCCGAAATCAGATCTAGGATCCGAATAATTTGATCACCAAACTTAAAAGCGAAAGGGTCCAGTGTACAAATTTGCTCTCTCAAGGTATTTCGATTTCTTCTGTTTAGCTCTTACGTTTGATCTTGCGGTTTTGATATTTGAATCTGGTTTCGCAATATTCGTTCCTGAATCCTCCATTTGCTTCTTCTCCGATTTTGAATTCCGGGAATCGTTTTGTGTTTTTGTCAACCTGATCCTTCAGATTATGACTATCGTTCCATTGCTTTTTGAGATCTTCAATCGTAGCTCAATCTTTTGTTTTAGGGATCAGCTTAATTGGAGTAAATTTCTTGCGTTTTCGCGGTTGGGTATTAGTACATTGTAGAGATCTGTGTAGTTTGGTGTTTGTTTGAGTGATTATACGATGAATTTGAGGCTTTCTTCTTTTATATGGAACTTTGCTTGAAGATGTATGTATTGATCCGAAATTTCGTGATTTTTTTGTTTGTTTGCTCTCTGTGTGTGATCTCTGGTTGAAATGGGTGGCTTTCTGTCTTGAAGATCAGATTATACACAGAATGTGGCATGAATCTCTGTTGTGTATCCTATATCTAGGAAAAATCAAGAAATTGGTGTCTGAGTTTGAGCTACACACATGTGGTTGAAATAACTGAGTTTAGATATAGTGTCGTTTATCTTCTTGCGTATAAGCTTTTACCAGAAAAATGAATGTAGGTGATTTAGTTGAAGTTTTTAATATGCTGTCAACATCGATGATTTGATTGGTGAATTGCTCAAAATATTTGGTATTGGCGATAACAGCTAGTTTGTCTCTATTTCAGGTATTCTTCAAGTCTAACAACAATGTCAGGCTTTCACGGGACTCATGTAAGTACATAGGCATTATATCTCACTGAATATCATCGTATTCTGTAAGGATGTATATCTTTTGTGTGTATGTGTTCCCTTGTTGCTGTGATGATACTCAGTATCTGTAGTATAATCCATAATAATGTAGTGCATCTGATCTGCAACGATAATGTGTTCTTAACGTATGTATGGATGACACTTTTTGTTGTGCCGTAGATCCTGTGTAGCTGATGTAGCGTTATAAGAGTTTGACCGTATATGATTTTTTTATTGGATTCTCTGCCTCGCTTTTCTCCCGGAAGTTGAATACTGACTGTTCATTATACATTGAATAGGATTCATGTCCTTTGGTGAAGAACATTCTTCTTCTAGACTCTGAAGGAAAGCGTGTGGCTGTCAAGTATTACTCGGATGACTGGGCAACTAATGCTGCCAAGTTAAGTTTTGAAAAATACGTATTCTCGAAGACCTCTAAGACCAATGCTCGCACAGAAGGTAAGACCACACACATTATTCATCTACACAATTTCTTTCATGGGCAGTGTATGTACATACTTCCAGGCCGCTTATAGATGTGAATAAAGTTTGGTTTCATGTTACTATGTGCAGCTGAGATCACACTGTTGGACAATAATATTATTGTCTATAAGTTCACCCAGGACCTTCACTTCTTTGTTACTGGAGGTGATAATGAAAACGAGCTCATCTTGTCTTCTGTTCTTCAAGGCTTTTTCGATGCGGTTGCACTTCTTCTGAGGTATTTGCTCCACTTAACAATCAAACATCGCCTTAAATATTAATCAACGATCTCCACGACTAATGTTTGGCGCGTCCCCTTTTCCTTACCAGGAACAATGTGGAAAAGATGGAAACCCTTGAGAACTTGGATCTCATCTTTCTCTGCCTCGATGAAATGGTCGATCAGGGGTATGCAAATTTTATATCTTAGCTGTACATGATAGTTATATGCAAGTCTTAAGCTTGTTAAAGATTTGCTGAGCATTTTTTTAGCTATCGTTTGGTTATGGGTTATGGAATGTGTTCAGGGTGATTCTTGAAACGGACCCGAACGTCATTGCAGGGAAAGTAGCTATGCAGAGCACAGAAGCTAGTGGTTCACTCTCTGAACAGGTGATGACTCTATTATCTCCCTTTGAAGAAAGCAATATAGTTTTGTTTTGGTTTGGCTAACCGAAACGGGGATTCATTGCTTTTACATTTTGGAATTGCAGACATTAACTCAAGCACTGGCTACAGCTCGGGAGCATCTAGCAAGAAGTCTACTTACATGAGTTTCCTCATGCCCCCCCCCCCCCACCCCACATAATAGAATGGACTTCAAATTCCTATGATGAGCAATTTTTATGAGATTTGTCTTCCGGATTTATAATGTGAGAGACTCTAATAATTCGAAATACTTGGCTTACGAAATTTTTGAATACTCTAAAGTTTGGGGGATTGGTATAGGCTGTGTGTAATGCTGGAATTTTCGGAGACTGGATATTGCAGAAACAAGAATTTATTACTCTTATTAAAGAAATCTAGAGGATAACATTCTCATATAAACTTAACTAGAGAACATAAGACAAAAATGTTGCATTGTATCACAAGTGAAAAAATCGTTGAAGGAAGTCTTGTTTCAGCCTTCACTTCTTCCGCCACCAAAACCTCAACAGGCGTAATAATGGCGAAGACCGTTACAACGGTAGGGATAAGGCCATTGACATTCTCCGCCTGAAGGACCAAAACGGTCACCAACCAGTGTGGCCTTTTCAACTACAAGTTTCCATCCACTCAAGTAACTTCCATTAAGTTTCAAAGCCTTCTCTACACCTTCCTTTAGATGAATGTAAGCACATCCTATGACCCAACCGGTTACACGGTCTGTTGGAACAACAACGCTTATAATCTCTCCACATGATCTGAAGTATCGAGTCAATGCATTCTTGATCAGGAAGCGAAGAGTCAAATCCTTTAACGATGATCGTTTGATCAACATTACCACCACCAAATATTCCCCTTGGTGGAGTAGGAGTGTATGCAGCAGGAACTTGACGAAATTTATATGAAGGTGCGAAAGAGGTAGCAAAATCTGATGATTCATCCTCAGAAGTACTACTCTCATCCATGGCATCTGCACTGTTAAAAGCAGTTTCAAAAAGATTCTTATTACCTTTGTCTGAGATCATAGTGTAGATCAGCCTTTGTCGCCAACAAATCCACCTTTGCTTCGATCCGTTGAAGACGATCAACCAATCCTTCCATTGTCTCAATCATGAGAAGGAAAGACAGGAGAGATTGTAGTAGACGTGAAGTTCTGCGAGAGGCACGAACCCTAGAATAATTATGTATTAGGTTAAATAGAATAATTCAATAACAATGATTAATTCACATTAATTATATCGAGCCGACCTTGTTTGGTTTCGTAAAATAATTAGGAAATATTTAATTTAAATTTTTTTTTTTTTAACATCAGGATATATTCAAATTTATCACTAAATAAAATCTCTTGGCATATTTTTCCTTCTCCAAATATATGTTAGATTTTTTGATTTTCCTATTAATTAGAGTCGGTGAGTTGCTATATAAAAGGAGAATTTTTGCCCTTGTTGCTGTAATTAAATTCTCGCTCTCTCACAAACACACAACACAAAAAGAACACTAACCGTGCTTCAAAAGTTTCCGTAACTCTCACGGTATTTGTTTTACTCCGATTTCTTTACTCTTTTTCAGATTTTGCGTATGTTCTTTTGCTACTACCGTTCTGAAATCTGATTCTTGTTGTGACTCCGTTTGATTGTTCTCCGTTTTCTACCAAACTTCGATTTTCACTTGTAAATTTATACTACTTACAATTGTTTTGTTTTGAAGATGTCGATGCAAATCTTCGTAAAGACTCTTGAGGGCGAGAACAGGTCCTTGGAGATCAAGATAATATCCCTCGAGGTCAAAAGCTCCGATACAGTCGAAAACGTCAAGGCAAAGATCCAAGAGATAAAAGGAGCTCCTTCAGACCAACAAAGACTTTTCTTCGATGGTAAAGAACTAATTGATGGTCGGACTTTAGCTGATTACAACATTCAGAAAGAGTCAACGCTTACCCTTGTTATCCTTCCCCGTGAGATGAGTATCTTTTTTCTCGGGTCTACGCGTAAGCCCATAATTCTTGAGGTCGAGAGCTCTGAAACGATTGCCAACCTAAAGGCGATGATTCACGACAAGGAAGGATTCCACCCGGACCAACAGATACTAGTCTATCACGGATACGTACTAAGAGGTTGTCTGACTTTAGCTTATTACAAAATTCATAAATTCTCATCGCTACACCTTGTTCTCCGTCCTCGCGGCGGGATAGGTATCTTCCTAGAGGCTTTCGAGGAAGATAACATATCCTTCAAGGTCAAGACCATATCCCTCGAGGTCAAAAGCTCCGATACAGTCGAAAACCTCAAGGCAAAGATCCAAGAGATAAAAGGAGTTCCTCCATACAAACAAAGACTTCTCTTCAATGGTAAAGAACTACTTGAGGATGATCGGACTTTAGCTGATTACAACATTCATACAGAGTCAACGCTTACCCTTGTTGTCCGTACTCCCCGGATTCGTATCTTGTTCGCATCTAGGAAGATGCGTAAGACCATATATCTTGATGTCGAGACCTCTGAAACGATTGGCAATGTGAAGGCGATGATTCAAGACCAGGAAGGATTCCACGTGGACCAACAGGTGCTAATCTATGCCGGACGCGATCTAAAAAATTGTCGGACTTTAGCTGATTACAATATTGAGAAAGATCACTCAATTCTTAACCTTATTGTCCGTCTTGTCGGTAAGATTCAGATCTTTGTCCAGAATGTAAGGACGAGTAAGATCACAACTCTTGAGGTGGATAGGTCCGATACGATTGGCAATGTGAAGGCGATGATTCAGGACAAGGAAGGGTTCCAACCGGTCCAACAGAGACTAATCTTTATAGGGTATCAGTTAGAAGATCGTTGGACTGTAGCTGATTGCAATATTCAGAAAGAGTCAACTCTTTACCTTGTGAAACATTGACCACTTGAGTCTTTAGTGCTTTTGGTTTTTAATTTTTATTTTCTGTTAAGATAAACTTCTGATGGGCTCTCGTGATTGGC